CAAGTAAGTCTGAGAGTAATGAAGGTCAAGGTACGAGGCAAGAATAATGTCAGCTGTAATGGTTACAGTTAAATGTCAACCTGGCTGGGTCAGGATTCTCAGTGGTATGGTGAAGTGAAGCACTGGTATTCAGACTAAAGGCCACCTGACTCAGTAACTCATGTTCATCCACTACAACCCCACCAGCTCCTTCACACTGGTTTCTATTACTCACCACTGACACATTTTGCTTTAGAGTTTAAAGTTTATTGGATCACAGCTACCCCCTTATGTAAACACTGATTCTCTAATAACCAGGGAAGAAAATAAGTTATTTTCATCTTTCCCTTTTATATCCAAACTTTCTTTTCCTCCCTTTTCCAAATCATTCTCAACTCAGTTATAAGTCCACGTGTAAGTATTCAGTGCCAAATAATGTGATCTGCACTGTACTGACAGTAAAAGTAAAGCCCACACCCTAAGAACTGACTGACTGACTTTAACACACAAAGCTCTTCAGTGACTCAGCATTAACAGTGAGTTACATCATCCAGGACATAACACTGGATAGACAAGGCACTGATCCACCATATCCTCTCTATATTCCTCTTGGCAGGTATAGAAATATTTTCTCCTGGTTTCTTTATAAACAAGGATTAACTAATAATTGGAAACTAAGTGTCAAGCCAGGGCTCACTTATGTCTGCCCAAAACACAAGTATATGTACTGCATGGCCTATTATATATCCAGATTCAGTGGTCCTTATGAAGATTATCTACAAAATGTGAAAATGGCTGGTAACATGTAAAAGAAAAACATGAATAAAACTATATAACTCTATCACAAAGCAGCCATGAAATATGAATGCATATTGCCAAAGACTAAAGAAAATACAAAAACAAAATTTTTAGGTGTTGCAAGTAATGGTATCATGAATAATTAAAAACTATCTTATATTATTTGTGTGGTTATTTATTGCTTTGTAAGATGCTACCTCATAACTTTGTTACTTAAAACATTCTCACCATTTATTTTGCACAGGGTTGTTTGGTGTTACTGAATGGCTCAAAAGCAGGGTCCTGGAGTCCTCTGAAAGCTGATTTACATGGAGACAGGTAGACGCGATAGTGCCTTTTCTAACCCCACCCCACAAGTCCCACAGCGCCATTTCTACCCAACTCTATTTGTTATAAACAAGTCACTAGGCAGGCCTGCTGTCTCAGGATAGTGCAATGGTTAAGCTCTGAATTACTAAAGGAAAGGGCTGGAGGTTCAAACATAGCCAAAGGAACCTCAGAAGCAAGGCCTGGGAACCTGCTTCTGAAAGGTCACAGCCTTGAAAACCCTATGGAGCTCTATTCTGTATGCATGGAGTCACCATGCGTCACCAACTCGATAGCCATTAACAAGGCAGGTCCATATCCAAGAGGAAGGGAATCTCGGACTCCGCTTTTGATGGTGGACATCACAATCACCTGAGGAGCATTTTAAAAATTAGACTAAAACTATTTTAATGCCCACTCTGATCAGTTCAATCAAAATCTCTGGGGGTGATTCTGGAGCCACAAAATACGCATTTTTAATGCATCCCCAGGTAATTCTAATGCATAGTAAAGGGTGAGAACCACTGAATTAAGATAATCTCTGACATCTAACATCTTGTGTGTGTATTTGTAATGTATGTAAGTATTCTCATCCCTGCGGAAAAAGGGGAGAAAACGAAGTGGCTAAAAAGGGCCTTTGCAGGGGAAAAAAGTACACATAAATCCAAGAGTATAGGTATACTTTGCATGTTGTTGTCAGTTTTGATTCATAGTGACCCTGCAGAGGGTTTCTGAGGAGCAGCTGGTGGGTTCGAACTGCCAACCTTGTGGTTCAGTCCAGGGCTAATCGTACAGCGCCACACCCAAATAATATACTTTGTAAGATCTGAAACAAATTTGGCTAATACCTAATACTATAGCTGATAACATATAGTTCTTACTGTCCATTAACATCAACTCTGAGCAATAACAGAGGATGAGAAAAGATCAACATGCTTCCAGAACCATCCCATGTCCGTACTGATATCCCAGTATTTTTTACCCTACTCCTTAATTCGGCTTATAGACAACTTATAATTATCCGTGAAGCACAAAAGGAAAGGATGCACAGAGCACCCAAAACCCCTTTGAGTGCCTGGCCCATATCTGGGAAATAAGAGGTAAATCTCTGGTTCTTAAAATTCAAAATTTCCATGTCATAAGCGGGTATGTATGTGCTGCTTTCATACCCACTTGTAAATTGTTTTTGTTGTTAAGTGTCATCGAATCGGTTCCTACCCATAGCAACCCTGCATAGGGTTTTTGAGGTGCAGCTGCTAAGCTTGAACCACCGACCCTGAGGTTCAAACTGACATTGCGGTCCAGCGCATTAACCCAGAGCACCACACCAGGACTCCACTTCTAAAACTATCAGGCCCTAAACTAGTGATTTTCAAGCTGTGCTCTACTAAGAGCCTCTGATGACTAAAGGTAAGCTATCTGTTGCACAGCCTGGGCCAACAATATACATTTAATATAGTTTCCACTGTGTAACTATAATCTGGCATCCTTGTGTGGCACTGTAGGATAAGCACTGGACTTCTAACCACAGGGTGGCAGTTCAAACCCACCAGCCGCTCCGTGGAAACTATACAGGTCACTATGAGTCGGAGCTGACTCTACTGGCACTAAACGATAGTCACAAGAATATACTTTTCAAAAATGTCACCACATAGTAATGATTTACTTGGCTATGAACTTTATAGCATTGATTTTTTTTTTTTAGCACTGTCAAAATGGAGTAGGGAAAATACATGGATTCTAAAGCTTTTTGTCTCATCTGAAGTTTGATCCAAGTTCAAAATTTTTAACAACTAAAGAACCCAAGGCTGGTAACTCTTATTTCTGTGTTTTAAAAATGCTAAATTTCCACAAGTCCATGTAATAATCACTTGCTTACAAATCTGAATTACAGTCAGACATCATTCACACTATCGTGTCTTGGAAGTTTAACTTACCTACTGATTCTACCCTAGTATATTTTTTTCCTATGGTTAAAGGCCACAAGTCATATAGTCCATAGTGATCTGGTGCTCTGGTAAAAATTTTCTTTGAATGACAAATGAAAATTACATTTATTAATGAAAATATATAAGGGACTTAAAAAAGTTTGTGGAAAAATTAATGGAAAGATAATAGAATTTTTACACAAACTTTAAAAAGCCCGCTCATATATTATACCTTAGTAAAGACCAACTACGTTCATCATTCTCAAACTTTAAAGTGCATACAAATCATCTGGATCTTATTAAAGTGCAGATTCTAATTCAGTAGGTCTGAAGCAGGCCTGAGATACATCCTTTCTAACAATCTCCCAGGTTAATAAAGCTGTTGCTGTTGGTCACCACACTATTCTAAGCAGCAAGAAATTTGATGCTACAGGATAAGCACTAGACTGCTAACCACAAGGTCAGAAGTTCAAATCCACCAGCCACTAGGAGAAAAATGAGGCTGTCTGCTCCCATAAAGACTGAGCCCCAGAAACCCCTAAACCCCTATACAGGGTTGCTATGAATCAAAATTGGCTCAGTGGCAGTGGTTTTTTTGCTGTGGGGGGGGGGGGGGGGGGACGGGGACGGGGGACACTATATATAAGTAGTGCTCAAAAATCATATTTTTATAGGAATATTAAATACTAAAAAAAGACTGCACTGAAGATTCAGTAGTATGCATAAAGGCTATTTTCCACTGTAAAAATACTCATGGATTCCTGGTGTCGCATTGTGGGTTAATGCGTCAGGCTGCAAAGCCGTTTGAACTGCAAGGTCGGTGGTTCAAACTCACCAGCTGCTCCTCAGAAACCTTATACAGGGTCGCTCGCTATGGGTCAGAATTGACTTGACAGCACTTAACAACAACTTCAAGTCTGTATTTCTTCATTAATAAAATGTATACAGTTGCCCTGCCTATCATAGAATTATAAGAAAAAGAAAACTAATGGAATCATTCTGAAGAACATGTTACTGTATGAACTAATAACTATTGCTAAGTGCTGTTGAGTTGGTTCCAACTCACAGTGACCCTGTATAGGATTTCCTAGGCTTTAAATTTGGGGGGAACAGAAAGGTTCACTGCTCTCCTTTGGAGCTGTTGGTGGGCTTGAACCACTGACTTTGTGGTTAGCAGTTTGTGACTACAGAGCAGCCACTGCACTCCCGAACTAATAATACTATTATTAGTTTATTTTTACTTTTTATATTTTTGTATTATTTTTACTATTAACGAATGCAGTGTGTTTCTCAAATTATCCATGATCTCAGTCATGGAAAAGCAGTCCTAAAAATGCAGTGATTACTCAATGTCATCTTTCTTTAGAAACCAACACTGTAAATAAATTACCAAACCTTTAGACAGATATTAAAAGTCTGTCACATGGATACACTTCTGGGAAATCTCACCTCTCACTCACTTCCTGTACATTGTGACCACTTCTGTTCATGCTATAAGGCAAGTCCTGACTGACATATGTTAGGATATTTACTATCCTTCTCTTGTATTTTTAAAATTAAAAAATCCATTCAATGACTTTTTTAAGATAAATGTTAGAGAAAAAAAGGCTCTCCCAAATTTTTCAGTGAGAAAATATATACGGAGCAGCTTTATTCTTCATTGCCTCTTCTATAGGAAGAGGTAGGATCTGGCAAGGATTTTCTTTTACTGTTAAGCCCTACTCTCTTTGAAGTAAATAGGCAAGGTGTGGAGTCCCTTTGCTCAGCATAAACCAAACATATAATTACCATGATCAAGAAAAAAGATCCCTAAAGTCTTTCTTAAGTACATATTTGGTTGTTCTTTTTCCTTAGACTGCCACTTCCCATTCTCCCCAATTTCTCCACACCCAGTATCGAGACACCATTCATCCATGTAAGAACAACTCACTTTGCAAGCAGCACAACTTCCCCCTCTATGAAGCAACCACTTGCAACAGTACAACTCACCGCAAAGATTTTTAACAACGTTTTCATGTAGAGCTTTCGGATACCAAAGGAGACTCCAAAAATGGCTGGGACTATGATGAAAACGAGCAGGAGGGTGAAGAGGACAGTCAGGGAGATGCCCAGCAGGTTGACAATCAAGCTATCAAAAGGCAGCAACAAAAACATGGTGGAGGATCCAGGCAAGGTCAGTGCCCTCCTCCCTGAAAACATACACAGCCTTCAAATGGTCCTCTACGACAGCACTCGCCTGGAAAAGGAAGCAAGTCCCCAAAGTATAACAAACTCCATCCCAAATTCACATCATTTGACTGTTTGAAGAGAAAGATTGGGAGGAGGATGAGAGTAGAAAAGGGCCACAGAAAGCAGCCCCCAAATGCCAGGCCACTCCAGGATCTGACTTTGGAGATGAATGAAGCAGGATGAATCTGTCACGGCTTCTGAGTCCAGGCTGAGTTCCTGTGCAAGCTCTGCTATTCTTACACTGCTTTCAGAGGTTTTACTCTTTCTCCTGCCCAAGAGCATTTAGCAGAGAAATCTGCCCTGAAGATCTGTCATTGCCAGAAGTACCAAGAAAATTTCAGCTCAGTGCCAGAAAACTCCTGATAGCTCCTCTGAAGGGGCGTGGCTGCTGGCACTTCACACAGAAGGCTATTGAACTCGCATATGTGGAAATTAAATAACTGCTTTACTTAAAATTCCTTTATAAGGTGAAAATTGTGTTCATTGTAGAGAGTTTATATCTGGGCCCATTCTTCTTCTCGCGAGGCTCCTGGCGCTGTCTGCTTCCAGGACCCTCCTACCTGGAGAGCTACAGTCTTTGCCAGTGGGACACAGATGCTTGCATAGAATGGCTCATGTTGCCTGCGGTGAGTATAATTTCAGACGCATCTGGCATTGATTTCCTCTGGATATTCTTCTCCCTAAGGCCCCCTTCACAGCAGTGACCTGAGTTCTTGGCAAGAAGGTGCTCACATGCTGCCAAAGCTGAGGGTGGAAACAGAAACACAGTCAGTCAAGCAAATCAAGAAGAGAAACGTCAATGTGCATGGGGCAGGGGAGGGGGGCACTGTTTTCGGGTGAGTCTAGTATCAGTTCCAGTTTCTCCAGTCATCAAGGTCAAAGAGACTAAAGTGGCAGAGCGACAGGTGGTAAACTTGAGTGTGAGAGGGAAACACAAAGATGAGTCATATAATTTTCATATCCAATGATATCCTCTATTGTTATTGTTGTTGTTAAGTGCCGTTGAGTAAATTCAGACTCATAGCGACCCTGTAAAGGGCTTCCAAGGAGCGGCTAGTGAGTTTGATTTGCTGACCTTGCAGTTCAAATCGACCTTGCAGTCCAGTCCATTATCCTGCAGTGACACCAGGACTCCAATGACATCCTCTATAGCCACTGAAAAACTCTGAACACACAAACATAAAGGGGCTTAAAAAGTCTGTGACAAAATTCGTTTATCTTTCAATTCCATTTTTCCACAAACTTTCTGAAGTCCACTCATACACATACACACACATACATTTGACACACTACAAAAGACAAAAAGGGTATACATACTTTTAAAAGTAAATCTTCCCCCATCTGTCCTGTCCCCCCACTACCCAGAGTTCTCCTCCAAGAAGGTAATCAATGCAAATTTGATTCTCCTATACATACTCCAAGAAATAATAAATTTTTTCTCCCCACTCTGAAACGATAATGAAGGTATACTGTGCACACTGGTTTTGTTTGTTTTTAACTTAACATAAATCATTTAAAAAATATTTTATTATGTTTTGGATGAAAGTTTACACAGCAAACTTGGTTCCCCTTTAACTATTTTTACACATACTGTTCACTGAAATAGGTTACAATTTTCACAATGCATCAGCAGCCACATTACTTCCTTTCTTTTTTCATTGATCTAGTTTCCATTCCCCTCCTTGCATTCTCATCTTGCTTTTGGATAAATGTTGACCATTGGTCTCATATAGTTATTTAAGGGAGCACATTACTCACAAATGATAGTTTATTTTACAAGCAACTAACCATAGCAGTTTGAAACTACCAGCGGTTCCGCAGGAGAAAGATGAGGCTTTCTGTTCCCTCAGAAACCCTGTACAGGGTCGCTATGAGTCGGAACCGACTCCACGGCACATAACAACAACAACAACAACCATACCTTGATAGTGTTCTTCTATCAGTACACGTAGAGGACCCCTCATTTTAAAGGTGCATAGTTTTTAACTGTATGAGTGCACTACGATTTAGGTTCCCCATCTCCTAACCTGAACACTAGTATTACCACTTTTTAGTGGAATGTTGCACATAATCAATGTTACAGTGGATATCCATGTACATACATGACTTACCAGATAAAATGGATAAGCAAGTATATTTTCAGAATCAATCTTTAGAAATGGAATTGTAAGGGGAAAGGAAATACACATTTTAAATTTTGTAAGATAGTGCTGTATTTTCTGATTAGACATTAAATCCCTCCAGCTTATCTTTCCATACTGGCTATTCATTTTTTAATTCTACTATTTCAAATATCTTACAAATGTGTTCCAATTAATTACTCATTCCAAACCATAAGTTACTAATGTAAGGTCTGACATTAGAGCATCCCATCAAGTCTTTCTTGCAGAACATTTTGGCTTCACATCAATCACCATATATATGGCTCTGTTCCAATACATGTAAGTTTCAGAAATGGAACAAATGAACAGGCTACTGACTTCACCTTATTTTGTCTAGTGCTTTATAGAACTCAAAGCCCTTTTGTGTGCTGTCTCTTTTGGTTATACCAACAACCTGTCACCATGTATTATTTCCATTCTACAAATTAGGAAACAGAGAGACACAGATTCAGTTCTCTTACTCATGCCATACTGCTCAATTATACTCACATGTATCTGGTGAGTAAATGCTCAACAAGGACATAATAATTCAGCAGCACTGAATCACAAGTGCTACTTCCTGATTCTGACTCTCCACTTTTTCCCTTTCCTTCACTTCTGCATATGCTATTATGTATTAAGCTCTGGACTGCTAACCACAAGGTCAAGCAATTCAAACCCACCAAAGCAGTCCAAAGTTACTCTTTGGAAACCCTATCAGGGTGGTTATGAGTTGGAACCAACTCAACAGCACTTAACAGCCACCCTTGTCCTATAGGATTGGCTATGAGTGCAATCAACTCCATGACAGCCCTTTCAGGTTTTTTTATTTGTGTGTGTTTTTTAACTTGTTGTTGTGAATTGAGTGAAGATTTACCGACAAGTTTTACACTAAAAAAAAAAAAAAAAATCATACATTTTGTTTCACCTCAATGATTACAAGACCCTCTCTCTATGCAACAGTTATCCCACTTCCTCCCTGTGGTTCTTATTTGCATTTCACCCACCTTCCCATCCCTTCTTAACTTTGTCCTTATGAAAAGGTTGCCATTTTGATTTTGAATGATTGACCATTCCATGGTGAGCATGCCTTGTTGTTGTTCCCCATCAGGTTGTTTTTTTTAAATCCTCATTTATCACAAGAGCCCTAGCTGGAGTTATGATCATCACTGCCATTTACAGTTGGGGACAGTGAGTCTGAGAGGGCTAAGGAAGTTACCCTGCATCACAGAGCTAGCTAGTGGCCGAAAAGGAATTTGAGCGAGTGTATCTGTCTCACAGTCCACGCTCTTTAATCACTATGCATCCCATCTCTCCAACTGCCGTGAAATCAATGAATACTTCGATCTGCAAAGCCTAAAATGTTTCTTATCTGGCCCTTTACAGAAAGTCTGCTGCCCCATGACCTAGTTGATTTTCACTCCACAGAGGTAATGAACTCTCCCCTATTGTCCTGCCCTGCCCCCTGAGTGCCTGTTTATGAGTGCCAGACTCCAGAACACAGAGCAGTAAACTAGTCAAACAAGTTATCTGGCCAGCACTAAAATATCCTCACACAAATTCTTAGAAACAGCAGGCAAACTGTGGTTATCAAAGTTTCCAAGCATCTCGCTAGATTGATTGATAAAGCAGTCTCGTATCTTAAAAAACAAAACCACTGCTATGGAGTTGATTCCTACTTACCGCGACCAGTGACCTCATATGCTCGCTCTACAGGTTTTCAAAGGCTGATTTTTAAGTTTATCACTAGGTCTTTCTTCCAAGAAGTTTCCATCATTTTGTCCCCTATAGGTTCCATCACATTCAAAAGTGTGTTTGCTGCAAAGGTGGCACAGCTTCTAGCATCACAGCAACATGCAAGCCATCACAGTAAGACAAGCTAACAGCCGAGTGGTAAAATACATAGTCTTCAGTAGGGATTACAACTCAATGTAAAGAAAACAAAAATCTTCACAAGTAGACCAATAGACACACATCACAATAAAAGGAGAAAATACTGAAGTTGTCAAGGATTTCTTTTTTTTTTTTTCTTAAATGTTTTATTATGAATTATGTGATAGTTTACATGGGAGAACATTAATTTTACATTCATTCTATCATATATTATCTCATTGCCATGGTTACAATCCCCTCCATGCAATCCTTCCCCCGTACCCCCCAGGTCTTCAGCACACAGTCGCTCTCCCTCTCTGGATCTAAAGTCTCCAGCTGCTCCATCTCACCACGTCATCATCTCTGCCTCCACTTCAGGCATCACTGCTTCTCTAGGTAGGGTCCCGCTCTTTGCTCTTCTCCCTTGATGGTCCTAGGGATCTCCGCTCCTAGACTGAAAAGTTAATCACTCCCCTCCTTGCTATAAAACATCTACCTTTACATTTCTGACCCTCACAATCAATCCTGATAACAATTATTCACTATTGTATCACCAGAGACCTACCGCATCTCCTTTCATCAGCCCTGCCTAGACATATTAGATACTACTCAGTGGAGAGTTTACCTTCCTCCACGCCCTCTAGATCTAGGTTCCCTCTTGAAAGCTTATAAGCCAGTCACTTCTTGCCTTTGTAGCCCCCGCTCCCCCATTTTGCATAGCCAATGTCCAAGTTACCCATCCCTGTCTACTCTGTGTGTGGAGGGGGTGGAAATGATTCTTGCTGTAAGGACTTGTTCCCTCTTTTGAGCGACTGCTTCCATAGGTGTAGGTCAATTTCATCAAATTGTATGAGAATACTTTTTTTTTTCCCCCTTCTTTTTACTTCTGGTTGAGCTCTGATCATCCAGTCACTGAAACCAGGATAAGTGGGTATTATCTGCAAGTGTGGGTGTTCTTATGCATGTGCCCTCTCTTAAGGGATTTCATTTTGTTTGGATCTACAATCATTGCTCATAGAAGCAGCAGTCAAAACAAAAACAAAAACAAACCATAATTAAGAAACCCTGTATTAATTCATATGCAAAATGATGTATGTGCAAGGTTATTGACTTGAGCATTGTGCGAAGTTTCAAAGAAACATTAATGTCCACCAAGGACACAAGAGCGTAGTGGTTACGAATCGGGCTGCGAACCTTAAGGTCAGCGGTTCGAAACTACCAGCCGCTCCGCGGGAGAAAGATGAGGCTTTCTACTCCCGTAAAGATTTACACCCTCGGAAACCCTGTACAGGGTCGCTATGGGTCGGACCCGACTCGATGGCACTTAACAACAACAACAACAAGGACACAAGAGAGTACTATTCATCTGTTTGAGACATCTACATATGCACTGATAAGAAACAATGTCTATAATAAAAACCAATCATGAGGGAGGAGGAAAAGGGAAAGAAACATAGTTTATTAATTGCAAAGAATATTTCTGAAAAAATATACAGGTATTGACTAGTAGTTATGGGAAGGAGACAGCACTGTTGACCCTTTTGGTGTTTTTAAAACTGTATCATCTCATGGTTCAAACACATATACATACACATACACACCCAAGGTTTTGAATTCTGGCTTCATCATTTAACTGGTAATGTCTGTGTAACTTTAGGCAAATTACCAGTTAGTTTCCTTAACCTTCTTAAAAGAACAATTCAAGGGATTACAAGATTAAATACAAAGCAC